ACACTAGAATTTTGTGAAGCTTCAAGGGAAATTGGAGAAGTAATGAAGATGGCAGTTGGTTTGAAGAAGGAAATAAGGCGGGTAAAAGGGTAACACCAGAAAAAACGAGGGAAGGCAGTAAGGAAGGGAAGTAAAGTTGAAGCAAAGTCGCAAAAAACTGGGTCAAGACGAAGGAATGCAAGAATTTTCTCAGGTCAAAAGGGCGTATGGTCAACCCGAGTCTTCCTTGTTGAACACCACATCATCATCATCCTCATCCTCACAGGGGAAGTGTCAGTACTGCCATGAGGTAATCCTTTGTCTCATTTATGTTGGAAACCCTCTGAAAACAGCCTCTTTTTACAAGATTTTCATTTCTACGTAGACTCGGATTTTTAAAAAGTAAATGGAGAAAAGAATTTCTCTTTTGTGTTTATATTTGGGGAACAGGTTCACCTCAAGACAAAGGTTTTGATAGCTTCATCAAATCCCTTCCAGTCACATTTTTTCTTTATTTTTTCAAGTTTCATCTTTTGGGGAGGCCAGTATTTGCTTGTCAATGTGAAGCTTCTTGTGCAGCAAAGAGCTCAAGTGTAGAGATCTTGATATCAAACTCATGGAAAGCTATATATCATTTCAATGAGCATGATTTCCAACTGCAAAGAGAGCTTTTGTTCAGTCAAACATTCAAAATAGGTCACGGCCAAGAGAATACATGAAGCATACAGTGGAACTTGTTCTTTGTATTAATTAGCTGTGATACAATATGGAATCACCCTTTCACTGTTGGACACGTGACTGATGAGTTGATCATTGTCCAACAGGGGTTGGTTGAGTGAGCTTTCCTTTCATTGTATTGCAGTTTTATTAATATAACTAGTTTTGAAATGCAGAAAGAATATTGCAGCCAAGAAAGTGAATGGGGTTTTTGTTAATGAAGACCTTCCTTTTCAGGTCCTTTTCTTTTGTAATTTCACATGCATATGATGTCATGTGAAATCTAGATGTTTGTTTTATTGATTTTCAAGCAGAAAACAATAATCAAAGTCTATATGATATCTTGTAATGTCACTGCTATACTGTCACATACTTTTTTGCAATTTGTACATTTGCTCATCCTCTAGAACAGCAATTTTTTACCTTAACCCATTTGCGCCTGTTGTCATGTGAGACACCCGGAAAAAAGCATTCCCGGGCGTCCCGCCGGTGTGATGCTAGATTGGAGCTTGCACTCTGATTTTGTCGCCTGTGGTAGGTGGCGGGCAGGCCAGTTCTTGGACTGGCCCATGCTCCGATTTTGATTATTTTCGGCTTGAAAATTTGCCGGCGCTTGTGGGTTAAACACACGGCACACTGGACAGGCACAAAAATTATCAAGGCACACCATTAGTTTTTCAACCCCTTGGGTCTGAGTGCTTTGCAGAGTGCATGTGGCCCAAAATTTGGGCAATAGGTTCACTTGAGTGGCCACTGTGATGGGTATGTGGCTTCTATGTACCACAAATGCTCATTGGTGGTATCAAAACTCCTTGCCTCTCCTTAGCAATGTTATTATCTCTTTTTCAGCATAAGAATTTTTAGCTTTTTTGCCAATTCCCAATGTGTTCATTTGTTAGTTGATATACGGAATCCAAAAGGTAATATCTCTGGCAAGTACAATACAATAGTACAATAATGATAATAAGAACATTTTGTTTTTTATCATTTTCTCTTTTCTCTCGTAATACTAAATTTTCTGTAATACAACCTCTGCCACCAGTCACGGCAGGCAGGAATAGGATCACGAGCATGGAAATAGTTTCCTTCTTGGAGCTGACTCTCTTCCAGTCATGGCATATGGATGGTACGTTCCACACTCATTTATTGGTGGAGATAATGCAAGAACACCAAACCAGATACCACATGAGTCTTATTACCCTCTAGAGCTTTGTGCACTCATGGCGAGTCATTCCTGCCACCCTGGTCCTGAGCTGAAATTCTCAAGATGGCAAGTTCCCGGCACCTGCCCCTCAAGCCAAATTTTTCTATGACGTGATAGTCAAGTCATCCAGATCATAGTGGTTAGGGATAGGTTATGAAAAAAACATATTTAGATAGTGACCTAAAAGACAAATAACTAGCATTTGCTGAGAATATTTGGCTGCATGGTTTTTCATATTGCCACATCATACATGAATACACAACAATAAGTTAAACATGTAATTGTAAGTTCTTGTTGAATTCATTCTTATCGGCCTTATGATTAAAGATTTAGTACTTTTTAAGATTATCTCCTGTCTATTATTTATTGACTTATCATCTTGTTTTCTTTCTCGTTTTTCAACCCTCCCTTAAAGTTGTGTGATACTTTGGTTGAAAACTGCTGTTCTAGAGTATTTTTATATGGGTCAGTGTACTTCTCCAGAAATGGTAACCAGAAAAGAAAAAAGGATATGAAATATATTTTGAGAAAACAGTAGCCTATAAAGAAAAGTAAAATGTTAGCTCTTGAACATTAATGAATGCTTTGTTATTTCAAATCTCAATGACTAAAAAAGAAATAAAAAAAAAAAGTCAGTAAGATGTATTAAGCATTTGAAAAGTTGACATCTACTTGTGTACTGCATTAGAAAATATGTACTATAATGTAAACAGTTTGCAAGTATCGTGAACAACAAATTTGTAATGATTTAGGCATAGTTGTAATTGCTTTTTTGCCAAGAGCTTTAAACAATATATTGTCTTGAATATGATAGACTTTGCATGGAGAGCATAGAAAATATGTTGTGTAGCTTTTTTTAACTAGATTTCTAATAGGACTCTTTAGCTAAGATTTTATAACTTTTTTTGTAACTACCAGGAAATTATGTGACTTGGTGTTTTAGTATTGGCTAGGTCAGGAGAGTGAATTCTGTCAACATTTTTAATTCAAATGTGAAAGATTAGCAATTATAGATCAAATGATTAAATCTTCAGCTTCTGTATTGGCAGGTAAGCAGTGCATCATAATGTTAATTTTTTCCTGGAGATTCTTTTATGCCTACACCTTTTCTTGCTTTGAATTCAACTTTTGCAGTCTGACTACTTGTTCTGCTATGGATACTTATTATTGTTCAGATTTCCTAGAAGCCTGAACATGCTTGAGAGAAAGCATTTTTTTTTATCTGTATAGAAGTAAAGGATTCAGAATTTGAGAAATGAAGAGATGGATGATTTTTTGTGTATAACATTAATTTTATTTTGCAGGTGTCTAGCAAAGCAGCCGCTATTCCTTTCCTGATGCCCATTTTTGTATAGCATAGTTTTCATGAGCAGAATGAAGTGATACCAGTTTTAAGGTAGTTTTGCACTTCAGGTATAAAAGAGCCCAAGTACAACATCAAATACTCTGAGTACTGCATGTCATAGATATAAAATGAGGACTTGCATGGTTATATATTAATATTTATTTGTAGATGTAGTTTCCTCTTACACCAAAAGATACATTAGAAGCTTTGCTAATATTTAATAGTTTTTCAGAAGTGGAGATGTTAGTGCATTGGTTCAAAGTACATGACTATTATCCTTCATCTATTTTAGCTGATACAATATTACTCATTTTAAAGGAGGAAAATATAGCTAAAAAGCAATTCTCAAGATGCTGGAAGACTCCTTTTCTTTTCAGGTGGCATATAAGAATTATGATTGAAATGGAGTGTCATAAAGAATATGACTAAGATCTTTTGGAAAAAAAAAAAAGTTTGCGGGAACTTCATAATGGTAAGTCATTCCAGATTTTTATGTCCTGACATAAAAATAACAATACCACAGTTATATTTCAGGTCATCTGGAGAAGAAGACAAGGAAATCGTGAAATTTGGTTTATCAATAAAATGAATATGGATCATGTGATGTCAATTTATTAGCCTGCTATATTTACATGTAGATTGTTAAACTTGAAATGGAAGTAAATATACATCTTAAGTCAGTTGCTCTTGCACTATTAATGTCTGGTCAGTATGGTGATGGAAAATAGCTTGATTACTCTTGAGAAATATTGTGTGATGATTATTGTTGGAGTGAGTGAAATAGGTCTCAAATATGAGAATTAGGATAGATGCACTATAATAAAGTGTAGCTTTACCATCTATGCAAAAGCAGCATACGTTTATAAAAATTATCCAGAAGGAAATCCATTTAACATTGCTGGTGTTGATTTAAAGTAAGAAATTAATTAACATAACAGTCGGTATGATATTGATAGATTGTAATTTCATGAGTTCTATAGAAAGCCTATGTGACAAAATACAAATGGACAGATACCTGAATGCAATTTAACCCCCCCCCCAAAAAAAAAAAAAAAAAAAAGTTTTCTGGCTCCTTAATGGCGACAAAGAAATACACCAGGTGTGTGTTATCAATAACCATTAATCACCACAGATTTATGTACTGCCCCCTGAAGTTTTCTCGTGATTTCTGTTACATACAAATGGCTCCAAGTGCACTCCGTCTCCAAGGAGTCCCAAGTGATCTCGCCCGATTTCCCCTTCCTTGGAATATCAGGGAAAAAGTGTATTTTGTTCAAACACTATTAATATTGATACTGTCATTATTCTTATTGAAGTTGTGATTATTTGATTGTCATTAAAATATTAACATTAAAGACAACAAGGTAACACAAAAGACGCTTTCCGAAAATCAAGGAAAAGGGTAAACAGGTGACAGGTAGGATTAATGACTGACTTCTTGGAGACTAAGGACTTGCAGAGCCATCTATGTGCAAAGACAACAAATGAATTTGCCTGACTGAGGGCATGGCATATATTTGTAACAGATGTGGTGATTGAGATAATTATGTCGAGTTTGGCTGCTATACAATAACTATGCAGAATCTGTAACTGCATTAAACCTTTATTATTTTGCTCTGATTGCTAGTGATTATTTGTGCATATATTCATATTTTAGAAATAAAGAAAGTAACAGTGTTCGTTGCCTAGATGTTAATTTTTAAGCAGAAAATGATAATTAAGAAAAGAAAATTCATATATACTTACCGTATATATATATATATATATATATATATATATATATATATATATATATATATATATATATAATATATATATATATATATATATACACCACACACAACACACACACACACACACACACACACACACACACACACACACACACACACACACACACACACACACCCACACAACACACATACACACATACACACACATACACACACACACACACACACACACACACATACATACACACACATTATATATATATATATATATATATATATATATATATATATATATTATATATATATGTATATTATATATATGTTTATATATGTATATATAATGTATATATATATACATTATATACATAATATATACTATATATATATATATATAATATATATATATATATATATACATAATATACATATACATATATACATATATATACATATATATACATATTATTAAACATATATATACATATACATATACATATACATATACATATACATATACATATACATACATATACTATACATACATATATAATATATATATATATATATATATATATATATATATATATACATATAT